CGACAATTTACTAGCTACTGGTATTATTCGTCCTTCTCACAGTCCTTGGGCCTCACCTCTCCACATGGTTCGAAAAAAGGATGGGGTTAGTTGGAGACCATGCGGAGACTACCGAGCGTTAAACACAGCTACACGTTTCGATAGCTATCCCATCCCCCACATACATGACATCACGGCATCACTCAAGGGCACGACAATTTTTTCCAAGATCGATCTGGTACGAGCATATCATCAGATCCCAGTCGCTCTTGAAGATATAGAGAAAACTGCCATCACGACTCCTTTCGGTTTATTTGAGTTCCTACGAATGCCATTTGGATTACGGAATGCTGCTCAAACTTTCCAAAGGTTTATCGATAGCATTGTACGAGACCTAGATTTTGTTCACGTCTATATTGATGACCTGTTAATCGCATCATCAAACGTAGATGAACATTATCAACACCTGACGCTACTATTCCAGCGCCTTTCGGATAATGGAATAATAGTCAACCCCGACAAGTGTGAACTCGGGAAGAAGGAAATAAAATTCTTAGGTCATGTTATTAAGCATGAGGGTATTCTACCTTGTGAGGATAAAGTACGTACTATAATGGAGTACACTGTACCGTCCACACTCAAGGAACTGAAGGCATTTCTCGGTTTGGTCAACTTCTACCGACGCTTCATTTCGCACGCGGCAGAACAGTTACGACCGTTAACCGATTTACTTCGCGGTAATCCACGCAAACTGGAATGGAACGACGCCGCACGTACTGCATTTTCAGATATCAAAACGGCCCTAGCTCAAGCCACACTTCTCGTGCATCCTGACCCATCAGCCACGCTTAGTATAGCGGTTGATGCATCGGATTTCGCCTTGGGAGCCGTTATGCAACAGAATATCTCCGGTAGTTGGCAGCCCCTCGAATTTTTCTCACGACGCCTCACTCCCACGGAGACGAGATATAGCGCTTTTGGTCGCGAACTGCTAGCAGCCTACTGCGCCATCAAACATTTCCGGCACGCTGTAGAAGGTCGTAATTTCATCTTATTCACCGACCATAAGCCCTTAACGTATGCTCTGCATACCAAGTCTGACCGCTACTCACCACGAGAGTGCAGACATTTGGACTATATCTCCCAGTTCACGACAGACCTTCGCCACGTCAAAGGCGAGTCGAACTGTGTTGCTGATGCTTTATCACGTATCCAACTGAATGCAGTTACTTTGCCAGTGCTCGATCTACCTGCTATGGCCGCCGCCCAAGCAAACGATACTTCATGCACGGAAGCACAACAGTCTACGTCCCTTCAATGCCGGGAAGTACCCCTAGCTACTAGCTCTGGTACTATCCTATGCGATACTTCCACGGGCCTCCCTCGACCCATCGTACCCTCCGCTTATCGCCGTCTCGTCTTTGATGCCCTTCATGGTTTATCTCATCCTGGTATCGCAGCCACTTTACGCCTCATCGCTGCACGATACGTCTGGCCGTCCATGAATAAAGATGTCCGTATGTGGGTAAAACAATGTTTACAATGTCAACGATCAAAAGTGCACAGGCACGTAGCTGCCCCTATTGGCACTTTCGCTACGCCTGATGCTCGCTTCGATCACGTTCACATAGACATTGTAGGACCATTACCACCATCGCACGGGTATGATCACATACTCACGTGCATTGATCGTTTCACAAGATGGCCCGAAGCTATTCCCATCACGTCTATTACGGCGGAGACAGTTGCTCACCGCTTCGTAGAACGATGGATAGCTCTGTACGGTTGTCCCTCGACTGTCACGACTGACCGAGGACAACAATTTGAGTCCGCATTATTCTCCTCACTAACACGGCTGCTTGGTACGGAACGCATACGCACTACCGCCTACCATCCAGCATCAAACGGTTTAGTTGAACGGTTTCATCGCCAACTTAAAAGTGCTCTTCGAGCACACGAAAACAACAATTGGTACGAAACCCTGCCGCTCGTCCTCCTGGGAATCAGAACGAGTTTAAAGGCAGATATTCAATGTTCCGCCGCTGAACTTGTTTACGGCACGACATTGCGTCTGCCTGGGGAATTTTTCACACCACGGAGCAGCACTAAGTTCGGCGAATCAGACTACGTCCAACGACTGTCTGCATTCATGCGAACACTGACTCCGGTGTCGACTCGTATACAACATCGACAGGTCGCTCTCCCTCGAGAGTTATCTACCTGTTCACATGTTTTCATACGAGTAGATTCGGTACGCAAACCTCTACAACAGCCTTACGAAGGACCTTTTCACGTGATTTCTCGTCACGAAAAGACCTTCAAGGTTGATCGACGTGGTCGCATCGAAACAGTCAGCATTGATCGTCTCAAGCCAGCACACGTCGATGACAGTGCTATACCTGATAAGCCGAGACCCAATGTTAGACCCATCAGAGCTTCTAGTGGGATTTCTACATCTACTTCGGATCCCACGCTAGATGCACCTGAGACCTCATTCTCACGTCCCAGTCAACAGCACGTGTCATCTGCCCCGTCTACGAACGAGACTTCCGTCTCACGTCCAGACCTACAGACCACACCGCCCTTGACTGCGGATGAGATTGCAGGCTCACGAGGTTCGAACGAGACTACCGTCTCACGTTCTGGTCGCCGAGTACGCTTACCCGTACGCTTTCTCGACTAACCTCATAACCAACTACGGATACAGTATAGGAATCTACCCCTATACTACAAGAAAGCTACACTTTTCTCTTTTTCTATCATTTTTTTTGTGTTTACTCCGAGCCTACGCCTTCGACCATCGCTGTTCCGGTATCGTCGACTTCAGTAAACTTTGGCGAAAGCTGGCCTGATCACCCACGCTCTAGTCAACGCACTCAGTCGACCTCTCTGGCTCCAAATACGTATGGTATACACTTGGTCCCGAACATGGTTATCCTGGTCGCATCTGGTTCCTTGGCTCAATCTGGCTTCGTCCTACGTCTGCAGCGTTTCTGGTCCGGACCTGTACGAACGCAACCTTCAGATTCTGGATACAAACCACTCTGGTGTAGCATGCTAATCCAAGCAATCAATACAGTACGTTCCTTCTGGTACCGTTCTACGTCAAAGACTTTTGGTGGCAACTCGAGGATCAACGATCACTCCCTGTTCTGCCAACGTTTTCGTCCTACAATTGCACGTTACGCGATCAGTCCCACGAATGAAACCGCTACGTATCGAAAGTGTAAATCCTTTCTAGCGGGGGGCTCCTGTAGTGACCGGCCAGTCTCGATAAGAACACGATTGGAATAACAGAAACAATTATTATTATTGTAACCAATTGTACCAGAGATTGTTTTACTGTATTTGTTTAACTGTATCCGTTTCACTTCTTGTTCCATATACCGCCTGGTTTGGTTCGAGCTTGCTCACGCACTGCCTGTTCGCCTGTACTCTTTGGCACGTCTCGGTATTATTTCGATACCACGAGATCGCCAATAAATATACTTTATCTGGACTAGTAAAGCCTTCTGGTTTACGGGCTATCAAGGGAACCAAGTCATATTTGTACGCGTAAACGAATTGTAGTGGTGATCATAGTCCGTCTTCGACTCGACATCCACCACACCATCATCAACAACCTACTATGGGAGAGGACAAACCAGCTTCCAGATGAAGAGGAAATCAGGAAAAGACGCTGGAGGTGGATAGGAAATGTATTACGGAAATAATCAAACTACATCACGAGGCAAGCCCTAACTTGGAATCCGGAAGGGAAGCGGAAAAGAGGAAGGCCAAAGAACACACTGAGCCTAGAATGATAAACAGACATCAAAAGAATTAACAGCAACTGGAAAGGATTGTTCAGGACAGAGTTCGATGGAGAATGCTGGTGGGCTGCCTATGATCCTCCACTAGGGTCAGCAGGCATAAATAAGTAAGTTTTTAATCGCATCCCAATCTTTCTTCGACTCCTCGGTGCTGAAAGACATTAAAATAAACGAATACATGGAAATACATTTACCTTGTTCCACATAACCCTTTGACTTCCGTTCACACAACCAGATATCCCAAGAAATGTCTAAGATCAAAGTCATATTTGTCAATGTTATGACCATACAACTGTAACACCTGGAAAACATTCAACCAATCTACTTCATAATATAAGGTTTCGATATACCAGAAAATCCAACTAAATATTTTTGTTTTATCCTCCTAATGAATCCATTATCTCTGACTTTTGAGTCACATCATACTGTAGCAAAATATTCAGTGATTTCAGTCCCCATAAAGTAGCTTACCGCTGAAACGGAGCTAAAAAACATCCATTGAAAACTTGTTGAATCAAGTTATTTTCACCTCTGACCATCTTTTAGATCTTATTCACCTGCTTCTGTACACGTGTGTATTAACATGTGAACATATGATCTTCCGTCCCGTTTTCGAATACCACATGGCGTGACACATAGGTTTTCGCTCCTAGATTTACTGCTGCCTGCATATGCTTCTTGATCCCAATAGTTAGCTGTTACGATGGCAGAACTACAATATATTTGTTGTCCGTTTTCGCATATTATTGTAATATCCGCATTATGTGCCTGGACTGAATAATATTTGAACCCAAATATAGCAATGATATTCGGATCAACAAACTATTTTTAATTGTGGATTACAAGAGCGAAAAAAACTTGAGCATGGCCATTCCTAACAATTTAAGTAAACTCCAGAATATTTTTTGTGTGTATTTTTTGTCTTCGGTATATTGACACACTAATTTTTTTTCGTAATTACCGTCATTATCATTGAAAATGATATATTTTTGTTCCGCCGAGGTTATCTGGTGAGCCCAACATGATTCAGATAATTGGATGGTCTATTAACTATGGAAATAGAGAGACATGAATAACACAACGAACAGTAACTAAAGGACAAGAAAAATGAGTCATTAGACCTAATATCTTTTATGATAACAATAAGGTTATGGTTGGTGAGTAAATAAAGCATAGTCATTCAAGGTCAAGGAGTTTAATGTGATGGTGGGCGTTTCATTTTGTGGTTGGTGAGTTTGTTTATCGATCACACTTTACAATCTGACTATTCCCACTTATCTTATTAGATGGTCCACCAAACAACTATTGATGCACCAAATACTTCTCACGGACTTCTACCCTTAGAGAAAACAACTTTTATTAACTCTGTTAAACTCCTTAAAGCGATCTTTTAGACCTCTAACTCATTTAATTTATCCATCCCCTAAATATAACTGCCAAATATTGCGGAGATTCAAAATGTCAGTGTTCCGTGATCTTCATTGATCAAATCGTTTCTACACCGAGACGTAAAATAGTATGTTCAGACAAGATAGCTCAAAGCCAATAAATATGGTAGAGAGGATCAACAGGAAAATATATATATTGTTTTACGCAGAGGTGCAAAAAATTGAGAATTTTGAACTGAGAGGCTAGAAAAGGAAATGCGTATCATTGCAGGATGTTGACTGACTGACAATTGACCAAATGCCCTAAACGAGATCGTGTACAGTAAGAAAACCTAGGTCAGCATTAACACTGAATCCTCGCCAAACCAGTTGTTTTAAGAAATTACTTTCTTATATGTTCTCATTCAACAACCCTTTTCAGTATGAATGGGAATTATGGTTTATGAAGGTTAGTTTTGATTTTTTAATTCCTCTTTCGTCGTTTATGAATCATGGATAATCATGATTACTCTCGGTGGTAATAAAATGTAGCAATCCAGCTCCTTATTGCTAGACGATTCAACAGCCAGTGTCACAGATGGTATTGTATAGGATTGAATGCTTTGGAAGCTTATGTAACTTGTCCGATTCTATAGTGATACTACTTTCTCTCAAATTATCCTTCATGTTCTGTATATGCTAACCTTCATCTGGAACCTGTGTAGCAATGTTTCAACACTTAGTCTTTGTTGACAAAAGCTGAATAACTTTAATTAACATATGTTTAGATTATTTCATTTTGTTATTATATGGTGTCGGGCAGCCAACAATAAGGTCTAATTTGACTAAAGTCAGGGTTGAGGCTTGAATTGGTTGCTTAAAAATGATATCTTGATATCTGCCGATGGTGTAAATTAGTTGGCTTGATCCACGCCGAAAAGATTTCGATCCTAAGTTGTTACGAATATTCTTGATTATAATGAGTACATTCTTCTGTGCCGGAAAAAGAATTGACTATATAACGGTAGAGTGGTATTGTGGAGGTATTTAGCATTTTTTTAGTATAAATCATCGCGATATTGTGCTGCAGATATTATGCCCAAATTTTGTGTCTTCATATAATCGTCGACTGTAGCTCAAGAAAGCTTCGTACACTGTTCAGAAAAACGCAGTTAATAACGTACATCTTGATTCCGTCAGACTGTTTTCTGTACTTCGGTCAAATATTAGGACTTTTGATTGCAGTTCTGCTGACAATAGATTTCTCAATTTTAGGACATGATTTTTACAAACTTCTGGCTCACTTCGTAGTCAGAAACGAACGGACAATAACAGGACAAACATTTTATTGATGATAAATTCAAGTTACGATCTTTTGCGCAAAGTAACGATTGCTTAGCAGGGGATAAATGTGATACAAGAATGAATGGAAGTCGATGGTAGTACATATAACAAACAGGTGACTGACTGCAATAAGCACACTTGAAAACTGGATACATTAGTTGAATGTGGAACCTCTGACGCGTGTTCCTACCATGACATGCAATTCATTTATATGCGTTGTCCTTGATCTTGAGAAGGAACGATAAACTGTTCAAAACAAAACGACCTACATACCGGATGATATGGTGAGGGTTCATTGACACTTTACTGGCCATACACTGCCATCAAATCAAGGATTGGAGGTGAAGAAGTCACGAATATGAATATTTTGATCTTTGATAAATAAAAATACGAGCTTCAGAAAGCTGAGTTTTGATGCAGATAAAAAACCAGCAGTTCAAATGCTGTGACGTGACTTAGATGTATCTCAATAAGGCTGTTCTTGCCAGGCATATATCTCGAAAGATACACAACATGAATAAGCACAATCATCGATACTCAGTTTCCTTGATCATTGATATCATTGTAGACTACAGGGCAAATAAAAGTTACCAAATGGCTCTTTCGCAGATCAAGACTCGGTAGATGTAACGTTAATAATTGAAAGGTACATTATAGCGGACGAATTTAGCCATCTTATGTGTTAGTTATTATTACCCACAACTTTTCAAAGTAAACCGATATGGTCCTGTCGACACAATGGAGATTTTTCACAGCAAGGTGATCCACTGTTAATTTGGTCAGGTGCAGCATTTCTCTTGACGTTAAAATAGTTGGCATTTCTCCCTGACCGTCCAGAACTATTAGTTTTCTCCCTTAGTTTTAAAGAGGATCGACAATTAAGGTTTAGGTTACATACTACGTTAGACGGAGATACAGTAAATATCCTAATGATTGTATTAGGATGACTTATCACTATCACCTGAGCATGGGTATTTTAATGAAGAATCCTTGACTGAGCCTGATTTTCAGATCAGGGTTTTTTTATTTTTTAATTACCATAGCCTTTATTTTCATCGGTATTTCAGGGCTTTTAACAAGAGCAAAAAGTCAAAATGATACGTTTTCCGCATACGACACAAATGTATCTGAATTCAGTCGCTAGAAATATTCATAAGAATCGTGGCTGAAGAAACATATATTTAGGATCTACTGCAAAGTCAATTCTGGCCATCCAATAGTTACAACTCAAACTGACCTTTCCTATTCTGGTATAGAGCATCCCACTTCCTCAGTATACTCAAAGGAGTAGATAATCGTACTAAAAATTTACATTCCGTGAAGAACAGAGGGAAATCATAATGTTAATGGGATACGAAGAAGTTGCTCCACCGGTTGGTCCTACCTGGTCAATTTAATAATCAACGCTTTACATGATCAGCTTATACTAGCTATGATAAATGATTCAAAGACCAGTGATTGACCTTCCTAGGTAGAGATAGGTTCAGCAAAACAACCAATGTATCCCATTTTTACATCGAAACATAAATACGTGAGACTCGTTGACTAACTGAAACTGAGGACAGTTTGAGCTCATTTCAGCACAATACAGATTGGACAGACGTGATGCAATACGATTGCCGGATATTTTGTTGACAATGTTATTTCTATTCTAATACAGTTGCTGGTGTCTATAGAAATTTAATTCAATAACAAAGAGGTCCAATGCTCGCGGTATTCCAATATATTTATCATTTCAGTCTATTTGTGCCCATTTAGTCCTATTATACGTTGTTTGTTATTCACTACTCTACAAGCTGACTAGTTTACATTCACATTTGTGTATTGAGAACAGAAGCCCTACTGTCTGTTTCATCCCTTTTTTGGTAGGCTTCTGAGAGAGTCTAATCTTCTCTTGAATGAGTTATTTGAAGGGGCGGACACCATTTCTCGATGTAACAGGTTTTAAGAATTGATGACTCCGTGTGAATTTTATTCTTACTTTCCGCCTGAGACCTACCGATAAATCCTTGATCCACTTTAGGAGAAAATCAATAATCCTATATTTTCCAGTTTCAAAAGTACTCTATAACTCAGCACTTTATCGAATGCTTCGCTGAAGTCTATGAAGAAAAAATTCCCTGGTTCTCTATTGTATAGATTCTTTGTCCTTCACTATAGCGCTATAAAGTGGGATTTTCGCGCAACATAATCCTTTCCCTAAACCATACTGTTTGCTGTTTAAAAGGTTGTTGATTCCCGCTAATGTCATTAAAACATTTTTAATTATGTTTTCCAGTATTTTAACTACGACACTGCTGAGACTGACAGGTCTGCTATCTGAGAGAAAGTGTCTTCATCCTGTCTTATGGATTAGAACGACAATTAAATCCTCCAGTCCATAGGTAACTCGTCTTGGCCAAGTGACACATTGAAATTCGTAGTCAGTGGGGCGGCAATATATAATGCTATTTTTCCCAAGATTTTAGGGTGTAGTTCATTCTTTCCTATTGAGCTCAAATCCTTCAGTATGTCTTCTTGATTAAAGTTCAAAAAGAGCTGCTGAATTTTCGACTTTGTATTTAGGTCCAGTTCTTCGTCTAGAGGAGACTACTAAGTGGAAAACGTCCGTAAATAGTCCGTAATGACCCTTTTTTTCCTGGTCTTCCTCAATCATTTAAAAAATCTTCCCTTCCGTAATTAAATTGGGAATCCAATACTGCGTCCTTTTTTCTGTAATTTACTTACAAGAACAGTCTTTTCGAGTGCTTGACTTCAGACTGTGCGAAATCGCTCCTTTATATTTTTGCTGAGCTTCCAGTAGTGTACTTTCACATTTACTTCGAACCGAACTGTGGCATTCCATAGTATATCTTGATAAGAACATCCCAACATTCCTTCTTTTATCTTAGTAAACACCATGTATACCGGTCTATCTAGGAATTGCCGTGCTTCTTCTTTTTTTGGGTTGTCTAGGTTATAAATGGTTGAGTTACTCGATTGTATGACTGCCGGAAATTAGTCCCTGTCTCTTCAGCTAATGCCTTTAAGGCGATTTTCCACTTTTCAGCCGAAGCTGCAATGTCGATCGCCTTCACGTCTGCCTTCCATGAGCTAGGACGGGACAGCACAACTGCTTGATAGATTATATCAGCTATGAATTCGAATAAGATTATCACATGACCCCTTCTCCTAATAGATAGGAGGAACTTTATTTGACTGACATCACGGTGTGTGAAGAATAAGTCCAAGGCGGATGGAGAGTTTTGTAGGTCATATGTGGTGAAATCTCTAACGTGCTGGAATAAAACTGCAGCGATTGTGGTTTCCGATAACTGCTTCTGAGTTTCCCCAATTTATAGAGGGCTTTTACACCTGTTTGACCAAGAATTGAGTTTGTTCAAGAGTAAGTCATGCACTACAAATTTTGAATTGCGATATACGACAACTAATTCAATGTCTTGCCCCATACATTTCATCCAGCAGCGTACCAGTTCTCATGTTCGTGAGTAGCGTACCACTGTCTCAACAACTCGTACGGCTGAGGTGCTTTCCATGTACAGGATAACCCAAAAACCACTTCGGTTTCGTGTGTCATCCCTACAACTTAAGAAACTAAGTGATTGAATTTTTCTATCGTACATTCCTAACGTAATGGAGGTATACTCCACAAATAGAAGTAACTAAAGTACAAGACAAACGACTAACTTACAAATCAGTAAGTCGCTTAAAAGGTCATTTATTAAAGTTTGAAGTGCACGTGGCATATGACATGCTACAGACCAACATGAAAGATTGCTTGATCAAGTTTCAGATACATGTCGATAAAATGAGATGTCTCTAAATCAATCTCTACATAGAATTATTGCTTGGAACAAAACAAGTTTTCAACGTAAACTACGTTGAAATTGATGGATGGTATTTCCTAAACAATAAACTAGTTAAGAAAACATGTTCGGAGGAATTTTAGAATTTGCGTTAGCAGGTCAAATGACCCCCAGGTTAGTACATTTAGTTTATTGTCTAAATTTTTCAGGTAGATCAGTGATAGGGTTATTAAAGCCATAACATGATAGTTTGCGTTCAGAATAAACATAAGATTACAACTTAACAGATTGTAGATGTACTAACTTACTAAAAGAAGTTTGTGGAGGACCAAAAAGTATATTAATTCAAAAATAGCAATGAAGTTATGACGTCCAAATGTTAATATTATAGTATACAAATTATAAATTATAAACACGAATAAAAGTTATGGGACGTTACTTAAATCGGCAGGCTTGGGCGTGTTCGAGTTGCATTTGGTACTATAATCCACAATTAGTAACTCTGTTAGGGTTGTTGTAATTACAGGGATATAGCCAGATGTAGTATATAAATGAAATATGGCTGTAGTCTATAAATGTAGATAACAGATGTCTTATAGTTCAATTATCGTAACCACAGGCAATTGAGAACAACAGGCGTGTGTGTAACAGTGTATTTACGAACAGTTAACAGTGCGTCATGCTATGAGCAATTCAAAAACGGAAGTGTGTTCAAGGTCATACACTTAAACAACATGTACAATCATATTGTGGTAAATGTACAGACTGTGAAAATTGACAAAATAAATGCAAGTTATATCAAAAACTATTTACAAAATAAATTTGTTACACCTATCTTCACATAGGCTAGCTCTTTTGAATCTGTTCAACTTCTGTACTACATGGTTTTGATAAGATTTTGGAATAATTAACGACCAAATCGCCTCTTTCCTACCTTTTGTTAACCAGTGATAAATTAAAGGTTCTAGATAATGTACAGGAGTGTTGGTGTAAATAGGCAACGTTAAAGGTAGAAGATAAACAATATTTACTATTCGACTTTGAGACAAGCTATCAAACCCTCAGTTCCGAAGGTTATACTGTCTTCAGTTTTAAAAAAATCCAACAATTACGAAGAAACAATAGACTTATCCATAATGGTTTATTATTCATTTAGCTAAGGGATGATTAAGTATGTAAAAGAAAGCAGCCTAATTTTTCTTACATCTTTTATTCCTAAAATATAGTATGTCATTTAACAACAGTGTCGAAAAATATCGAAATCAAATCAGTTTATACAGCTTATATTTGACAGGGAATTTACGTTTCAAATGAGTGGAAAGTGAATGATTATTAGGTTGTGTCTACTGACATTTTGAATCAACCCCTATTTACTTATCCTTGCCTACTTTTGCTTGTTTGATGTTATAAATCATTGAGAATAACCTGCACGTAATTAGTAATTACAGTAGATCATACCTAATTACAATACAACGAACATAATCATAATCCAGTAATTTTTCAAGTAATCTTGATTACCATTAGAAAAGTTATCTGATTGCACAGAATAGTGTTAAGAAAGAGATAATCTCTAGAAAAATGATTGTTTGTTCTTCTCTACCTCAAACCTGCTAATTTTTTTCACTGCATGTTTACAATTCATCTTTATCAGGTGTTAGGATTCCTAATATTCTGTATTTCGGTCTATCTTTTGATAACATTGGAAATTTCTTCATCTTCGATGAAACGAAATATAAAATCCCGAATAACCTTAAATTTTATCCTCAACTTTTTGCTGGAATTCAGGGTGTGGTTGAAGAGTTCTCTGATTAATTTTGATCAACATTTATTTTTACTATAATTCACCCTAAACCTAGTGGTAGTTATGCAGTGCCAAATGGATAAGGTGAATCAAGTTTCTGATAAGCGTTAAGAGTTGCCAACATTATCTAATAGCAAAAGCACTGAGAAAAAAATGCAGGACAGATTTTCAAGCTACCGGAAAGTACTTTATGCAGTTAGTCAACTCATTAAAATAACTGATTTGAGAAAAATGTAAATATAAGAAGACTGATTCTCAATATTTGAAGTATCACCTTAAGAAACTGATTTAAATATATGAGTTTCATGAAGGATCTGATCTTATTTTTTTAAAGAAAATCAGTAAATATAATACAGAGGGTTTATCGATGGTAACGTCCATCAAACCTCAGAAAACAACAAACTAAAGGCTGGAGACAAGATTGATTTTGTTCTCGGATTCTTATGTGAGTATTCGGAATCGGATCTAACATAAACGAGCTTCTTGCTCCAAAAAATTAGTTTATTGAACTTATACGAAAACCTATCGTAGGAACAGGTAAACATTCTGTTTTTTTATGAAAGGTCAGTTAAAGAATTACAAATGAAGAAAGAAGAAAATTGCTGTGGTATAACGTAACTGAAATTAACTGAGTAGGCACAAGTTTTTGAAGTACTTTTGTTAAGTAGATATTGAAGGAACTATATACACATACTTTCGAAAAAGTCCATAAAACCAGTACGCATAAACACTACGGAAAAACGTTTTTTATTACTCCTCAGAAATTAATGTTGATCTACTTGTATTCATCTATAAAAAACAGCTCGAAAATCAACATAATTTCTACGGAATATATTATTCAAAGATTCAGCATATATATATGAAGAGGTCCACAATACATATGGTTCTGATAACAGTTACCATTAATTCAAATAAACTAGTTACCAGTTTGCAATACCTTTTGTCGTAGTTAAATGCCACTAAAAATCTTAATGTTTTGTCAATATGAAGATAATTTTCATTGCGAAATAACATCAGTTGAATGTCTATCAAAAATTGTTGAACGTTAGACATATCTTTCATCTTAGTTTGGGGTGTTTCATCATACATGTTAACATACTGTATTTTCAGGTATATCTGGAGTCACAGGCAATGAGTCAGAATTAAGTGATCTACTTTTTCTCAAATTCATCAGTTTGTAACACAGAATGGCCATCATCCCATGCTATCCATAATTAAATACCTCAGCCACAACTAAGTTTACACTACAAAAGTATAATAAATTCTGCTATTAAGTTGATAATAGTTATTCTCCTGTTTCAAGAAGTACATATTCACCATATGTAAATAATAAAAATAGGTTTTTTGTTCGGATATGATTTTCATCGAGAGTCTTGCTGGTCTTATGATAAGTAAAGCTGTCGAAAAGAGTAAGAAATTGGAGACAAACCAAAATGTAATCCGGAATTCCAACAAAAGTTGAATTAAACCATACATGTCAAAAGTTCGTCAAGCGACTGACAGAAATTAAAGAATTAGGTTTCATAAAGAGAACGTCAATGAATAGGCACTAAAACGTCGGTACTACCAAAATGCTAGCTAAGTCATATGGCGAAGCTTTACAGTAAGATCAACTGCAGATGATCATTGGTATTCCATAAGACAGTTTACAAGAGCTCATTATAGATAATAAAAATAATTCATTAGGTATAACAAAATTAATGTTCTTTGTCTTACATAAACACACAAAAATTGATGATTGTAATGTCTTCAAAATCAAAATGATTTCTAATGGTAAAAAGTTTCTTGCAACTTCTAATGAAGTATTTTGAAGCTTTTATCACACTTTATCCATCTTTACTGGCAACATGTGTATTTTCTAATCAAAAGAAAAGCCTTTTACAATCTAAGTATTATTGAAGAGAGAGGAAATGATTATGCTTATAATATTTCCCATATAACATACTTTATATAATAATAATAATAATAATAATAATAATAATAATAATAATAATAATTAAATTATTAAATAAACCCATTTTATCATACAAAGTGATTGGTTAATTATTACGAATGATGAAATTAACCAATTACATGATGAATAATTAACAAAATCAAGAAGAAACAAAAACAACAACATCAACAACAACTCCCCATTCTATAAATCAACAGAATCTTTTCTATTTTAACTTTTTTGATCTTTGATTAAATCTTAACAGTTGCTTTCAGTAGACAATTACATCATGAATAAATTTCCTACTTGGAATATTCTGTTTATAACAACTTTAATTGTTTATTGTCTTTTAATTTCTTTAACAAATGCTTGGAAAATTGGTAATTATTTAAAGGATAAGTTGTTGTTATTGTATTTTATTTATTTGTTTGTTTGTTTTAAAAAATTTTTTAATTAAATGATCATTATTATTTATTATTGTAGGCAAAATCGAAATTCCAAATGATAATGAAGATGTGAGAATGGAATCAGAAGAAGAAATAGAACCTACACTGAGACAAAGACGTAAATGGATATCTCAAGTAAGATACTTGTTATGTAATGTTTAAATACTCCTTATGTATTTACATTTATAAGTACATTAAACATCGTTACAGATTAAGTCACAGTTTAAATGATAATAACATTTAATATAACTATAATAAATAAGTATAAGATCTTTCATCCAAATTAGAGCGAATAGTTTCGCAGCATTCGGGCGCCGAGTTGATGTAAAACATTAAATAGGAATAATATATTTGTAAAATCTCAGCTAATGAATTTGAAGTAAATCCAACGTTTCGTCTGACAATCTGGTCCAAACTTTTTCAAGAAAATAACCAGGTTGCCAGACGAAACGTTGGATTTACTTCAAATTCATTAGCTGAGATTTTACAAATATATTATTCCTATGTAATAGATAAATTCTTAATAATATTTGTTAACGAAATTTCTAAAGATTATAAATTGTTTTTCAAAATTAACATTAGAAATTTTATTCTATTCTAGAAAGTGATTATCATCAGGTTCTAAGATGTACATCTAAGTCTATTTGGGATTTATTAATTAAGTGTACTTAGCACTCATTTTAATATTCCCACAGAAACTCTTATTTAGTACAGACATATTCAAACACTAGATCATTACCCATTAGATCTCTAAAACAAAATCCAAATTTAAAATTACTTAATGTTAGTTATTACTATTTCTTTTAATTGTTTATAACAACTTTTGAAATAAAAATGGTTTATTTTAAATTATTTTATTTAAAAATTAGGTATACTCCCAAAAATAATCGAGAAAATTGATGTAATATAATATTTCAAAAGTTCACTTAGTATTGTTTATTTGAATCTTCTCATTAATGTTTAGGACAGCAATTGATCAGTCTCTTATTAGCATATGTGCATACTGTGCGTATCGCCTCGATATAGCCGTAATTCACAAGCACTGTAGGCAAAGATAAATAGTGGCTAGCAGTGGAATCCAGGACGCGCGTTTCGTCTTATTCGAGAGTCCCAGAGTGAAAATCAACTCTGAGATGCAGGCACAATCCAGCCGACGAGGCCCAAATAGGATGAAACGCACGTTCTGAATTCCACTGCTAGCTACGATCCATCTTTGCTTACAATGTTATTTCAACAGGTTTAATCTGTTTTATTGAATTAATGTTTAACAGGTTTAAATACAAACGATATATGTTCATAGAATGATTTTTACTTATATATTTTTAAAGATTTATTTTTGAGTTATTTGAATTTTGGAATCATCAGTTAAACTAGTTATGTAACGAAATTGTTTATAATTTTTTTCTGTTTTCATTTAAAACAAAATAAGATTAAAAACTAATGTGCTATTTGATAAGGTCAACAAAAAAATTTATTATTTACTGCACGTAGAGTTTGACCATTCAGTCAAGCGATATGCCATCTCAGTGTACATTTTTAGTGTCAGATAATTGTCGACAATCACTGTAATGACATCTTATAGTTAGTACTAACTCTATATTTGGCTTATTCAAATAAACAAAAAGTTTTGTCACGGTCATTTCTAGGAAGTATGCAGTACAATTATAGAACTTGCTATCGATTATCAAAAACAAACCATTTAAGACTGAACTACATTCCACAGGATCTTTCATTAAAAAAAATTTTTATTAGATATAAATCAATCAGAGAAGGGTGTGAAAGTCTACAACTAGTGTTTGTATAATGGTAACAATCATAATGATCAGTATAAGGTTGCGGAAATTGTTGAGTTTAAATTCATATCATGAATGGACCAGTCTTAGACCACCATTGAACACCTGGAAGCACTGGACGACCATTTCGTCCTCGTTTGAGAATCCTTAGCAGCGCACATCCACGATCCCGCACGCGGGACTCGAACCCACAACCTCCGGTCTGGCGCACGAACTTTAACCTCTAGAACACTGCTCAGGGATCCGACGGTGTTAATCTCTTACTTCAACCAATCTACGATATTTTGCCATCGTCTACCACTGTCTTCAGTGAGTAACCGCCTCACAACACACACGATTGAACTCAACTGGCCATAATGGTAAAAACTAACAAAATATAACTAACAGCTATTCACCTAATCACTTATAATTCCATTCACATGAAATTGTTACTCTACAAAAGATCTAACTGTTATCATAGCAAATTCATTTTGATACTCATTAGTCAATTTCTTAAACTATTGTGTACTAGAACCAGTTTTCTCACTTCAGAATTAAGTATTCAGTTGTTCTTTATGAATAACTAACTAGATTAAACAGAATACTTCAGTTTTATTTCGATTTGAACTAGTTTTTACATACCAATTTCATGTATTTCTCTACATAATAAAAGTTTAATTCAATATCATATTTAATATTTCTCTACCTTATGTTTGTTTGATAATATACTGTTTGTACATAAAGTCAATATTAACCAACTGACTACTTTTATTACTACTATAATCAACCTTATAGTAATTATTACTTTAAGGCAAGTGAATAGAAATCTGAGGACAATAAATAAACAAATTAGATTTATTACATATAATTGTTAAGAATTAAAACAAAACAAAACATTATACAATATCTTATTTATTTATAATTATAAATGACAGTCGAATGACTTATTCTATAATTGATCAAATTTAAAGAAAGATATAAAGATAATTAAAATGGTCATCTAAGCAAATAAACAAAATGATCTATAGAATAAATCTTTCATAGTTTTGTTTGTTTTGTTTTTTAATTCTAATTTTGATCATTTGAATAATACAGTAGTTTGTTATTTATTAACAAAAAAGGTTTCTTGTAGATATTATAATAATTTAATAGTTGAATCTATAAGTTAATTAAAATTAGACCATAATGGAAAAGCTGAGAACACTGGACGGCCGTCTCATCCTGTTGAGGAGTTCCATACTCGGAAGAAACAACCATCCAATGCTTCTAGGTTTTCCATAGTTATCTAGATTATTATTGTTTTTCAATGCTTACAATTGTCACTTACTTATACTATAAAATTCTGTATAAAATAAACACTGAATCATAGAATTATCTATCAACAAAAGTTGTTAAATATTACTGAATTTATACATTTTAGTTGGCAAGTAGTTTCAGTTGTCTCAAGTAGTGAATATTCAAGTTAACTGTTTCTTAAATACATACAACATTGTTTAATTAAACAAATGAATTTAGATCATCATTACTGATATATAAATATGTTAAATGTTTAACTTTCAAGAATGTTACTTTTAAAATAGATTTAGCCCCCATAATATACAGAATACAATCCCATAGAAAATATCACTTTATATACGGAAATTGAGGTAAAAAGTTATATAACTCCTGTTTTGAACACAAGACCAACATTAGTATTCAAATAATTATTTTTAAACTTCACTTAGTATTGTTTGTTTGAATCTTCTCATTGATGTTTAGGACTGCAACTGGTCAGTCTGTTATTGGAATATGTGCACACTGTGCGTATTGCCTCGATATAGCCTTAATTCAGAAACATTAGAGACAAAGATGGATTCAACTGCTAGCCACTATCCATCTTTGCCTATATTTTTAAACTTGTTTAAATTTTCGAGACAAGTCAACCACAAAACGTTTTAGTGAAAATAAGTTACACTATTGTAAAGGTTAACTTTCACACCTCCAGTAAACATAGTAGTTTTAGAAAAAAAACTAAGTTCAAGGTGTTAAGTAAGATTAACAAGTGGTAAGCTAGATTTTATATTGAATAGTAACCTTTGTAATGGGTAAAACAATGTAGAAATAATCTGTAAGAATAGTTTCATTCAGATGATAAAGACTAACATGCAATGTTGTTCATAAAACAACTAGAGCATAAAAAAGTTCTTTATTTTAGATGACTACAACTAACTTTCTAAGATTAAATGTATAGCATAAGTACTAAAAGAAGAATTCTTAGCCCAAAAATTTTACTTAAGTAGGTTACTTTTAAGGAATAGCTACTATAAAGTATTATATGAATATTAAATACAATGCCAAATCATTATTCCATCGTTTTCATTCTCATGTTTGAAATATAAATTCCGAAAACTTTCCCTTTCCCTATCAATCACTTCTTGCTTCTTTATCAATTAAGAATTATCATCCAAATAATGAGTTGTAATGCTAGTCATTTACGTCTAACAAGCATACTCTTTTCACCATTTAATAGAGGATAAATATTTTCACACAAATGCACAGAATATTAGATGGGTAAGATAAGGTTTAATAGTGTTAATAAAAGACTTATACTTTGTATTTTTGCAATAATAAAGTGTCATTAATACCATTCATTGTCGTGTAAGAATGAATTACATTAAAGCATCTGTTCATTAGTCGTTGATTTTCAAATGATATACTTACGTAACAAAGTTCATGTCTACCAGTTTTTCTAACTAATGAGGTCTCAATTGTGGAATATTTTGTTGGTGGAAGGTTCTAAGTTTTTTAAATGATTTAAACAAGGGGACCAAATAGATTATAAAATGATAACTATCTATTGATAAATGCAGAGTATAATATTTACTAAACAACTATTAATAGTCCATAGTATTTTACAAGCTGAATCTTATCAACGCTATTTTGTAGCTGGAAACAGAGAATCACTGAATAGACGTTCATAAATTCTAAATTGTTCCATTTAACTATTTCTTATTTTCGAAATTCGGAAATTTATTTACTGATTAACATTGTAGACTCCTTTATTTATAAGAAACCATGTGTCAAATGGATTTTAATTAGACGAATACATTTAGTTGTCTAGAAAAAAATTAAATTGTTTACGTAGTTTAGTTTTCATCTCAGTAATTTCAAAGTTTCTAAAATATTTCAGAGAAAATTCATTACTCTTAGATGCTGGTATATCCAGCTGACGAATTCCAAATAGGACGAAACGCGCGTCCTAGATTTCACTGCTAGCCACTATCCATCTTTGCTTACGAAGTTCATTACTGTCCTTCATATTCATGTAAGTTATATAAATATATATTTCTAGTGAATTACATGTTACCAAATATTAAGATAAAA